AGAAAGCTGAAAACTTAGGGTAATGTTTCCCACCCACGTGTGACCCCGCAAATTTAAATTCAGCCTTCCCGTACTCGCGGGTGACACGTACGGCCCCGCAAAAGTTTTGACGGGGAAAATTATTATCTTGGGAAACACTGAATTCTGGAGAACTGTTCCCTACCCACGTGCAGTCCCTCCAATTTAAATTCAAAGCAGTGAAAATCATTAGCAGGCAATCGTTCGATGAATGGAGTTGCACAAAACGCATGATCGCATTAGGTGCCCTGGTGCGCGCCGTTATTTATTTTTTGTTTGTATGCAATTACTTATTTAGTTGTTCGTTTGTTCTGGGAACATTATTTTTGAAGTGGTGTTTCTGTTATTTTTTTTTCAGATTCTTTCCAGCAGTGGTCCAAAAAAAGCGAAGCGGAGACGGTTGTATGAGCAGAATTTGCTGCGTAAAGGGCTGGAATTAGAATTTGTTCGGGGCGAGGTAGGCGCACTTCTGAGAATTGCATAGAAATTTCTTTATTTCTTGCCGTAAAGGCAAATTGTCAAGTTGTTTTGCAGCTTTGCAGCAATATTGGCTTCGTGCTGGTTCATATCCCTTTCGACTTGCTCTGTAGGCATGCCGAGAAGCTGGGTATTGAGATGCGTGTTCGCTTGGATTTGAGACCGGTCTGTTGCTTTTCATTTTTAACCGATCAGTTCAAAGCGATAATAAATGGATAGGCCATTTAGTCATGAATGAGGAGAGCAATGACCGTGTCGCGTTTTGATGGCTAAAAGAAGTTTGATTTGAGGAACGAAAAGTGAATGAGGGATGGATTGATGAAAAGATACAACGCTGCGGTTGGCTGCATTTCGATGAAAAAACCAGCAAATTGTTAAAAGAACCAAGAAATCAATATCATCCTTTCACGTATGATGAAATGGAGTGGTGAGTTTCTTGCTATTTAGCATTTCAGCGTTATTTTCGATAGTTTTCGTCCTGTTCTCATTGAAAACTAGGTTGTCATGTCATCACTCCTTGATACGGCGTTTCCATCACTGGCACGCTGTTGATCTTCTCCAGTGACAGAGTCAGCAACCACGCCACCGAATTCTATCCTGGGCTCGCCTCATCCACAATACTCCATATAATAGAGTTAGCGGATCCGACCAGCGCATCGGTGATCTTCCCACTGGCCTTTTTACGTCTCAGTGATAGCTAATTATTTACTTTTGTACAAGATACTGCTAAACTAGCAGTTGAAGGATAAAGGGAATGAAGAGAAAAAGGCCTAAAAAAGAATATAAGACGCTGTAGTCGATTAAGCGGTGAATATCCTAATTCATCTCATTTTAAAGTTGTGGCCTGAAATTTGTTGTAAGCTTGCACTGGGCTAATTTTAAGGCCCATTTTAATAACTTATTTGGTGTATACACTCATTTCAATATTTTACTTCTTAAAAGATATTACGGAATTTGTTACTGGGATTTCAGCTACGACGGTTATGACGATCCAGATAATTTTTTTTCAAGTGCAGATCGGATATATGTGGTGCATGATATTTTGTGCAGGACTCGATTTGGGCAAGACGATCGAGTAGGCATTGATAGTATGTTGCAACAGAATATTTACTGCGCTGCATATCCCCTTCATGAGGTTACCTTTTGCTGCCCTCAGTTTTCCATACTTTTCTACCTTCAGCTTTTTTTACCTTTTTGCCCTCGGCTTTTTTGGTCAGCAGCTTTTGGAACCACCAAAAATCAATAAAACTTGAATAGTGTTTGGTTTTTGGCATAAAAATACTAATAGTTTGTGTGATTTTTT